TCTGACGCTGATAAACACCTACTTCAGCGGCATTGGATGTTATTGCATCAAACTGATTTAAAACTATTCTAAGTGGTTCAGCATATTAAAATTTTTGATCATGGACTTTAATGGGTGGTGGATTTTAAAAATATTACAGGAATTTAGCCTAAATATCTGAGGGGACTCCTATGTCTACTTTAAGAGAACTGTTGTGCTAATAAATTTGGGATTCATTAGATGGTATGCAAATCTGGTTGATTTGGTTTTGGGCAGAGAATCACAATCGTACTTTCACTTAACATTTCACAAAGACGTTGCTGTACATTGGCTAACTTTCTTATTTTCATTTTAATTGTGTGTTACTTAGCCACATGAATTGCTGGCATTTTTTGAAAGTAGCTGAATGTTTTTTATAGTGGCCCACCATCCTCTAATCATTTGTTGCTATCATGTAAAGACGCTTTCGTGTAGCGCTGAAGTAGCCCTCAGTTAGGTTATATTTATTGGAAACATCGAACATTATATCGTAATATGTCAGCCCAAATAATGGCTACATATTTTCCTTCTCGGATTCCTAAACAAAACGGTAGAATAAACTTGTTTTTCAAGGCTCACCTCTACCCATTCTTCTACTGCAGGCGCACCACTGTTATACATTGTCACGCCCTTTGATGGGGAAGTGATCAGAAAATCAACTCGCTCATCTCCATCAAGTAGCGTGTTGTAGCAACTTTGAGAAGGCATATATCAGCCTTAACTGACAGGCACTAATTGGAAATTTTGCTGATACGAAACTTTTAGTTGTTAATCTCAGGTTTTTCACCCAGCCAAAAGTAATTAAATTAACTATTTTACATGCACATGTTTATGCCAGGGGAATTGTGATTGTTACGAAATATAAAATTCAGACGACAGTTAAAGAGCTTACCAATGTCTTAATCAACTAGGAGCATTATACAAGTAGACCTATTGTTTAGATACATACGGAAGAGATCCTTTCAAGTAAACGTACTAAAATGAGGCAGTACCTTTGTTAAAAAAGAAGTATATCAAATCTGAGTAAAACCTGCAACTATAACACCATTTACTTTGCTTGGCTTTTTAATAATTGTACTACCATTAGAAGTTAAAATTAAAGTAGTAAAAGGAAATTATTTTGACCCGCATTCCTTCCACCACAAAAGTCTACCTTTTGCCTGTTGAATATAAAGAAAGGCGATTAATTAATCAAGAGGAAGAAATCATATTTCGGTTTTTCAAATGGAATTTAATAATTGATTATCAACAATATTATTTGCACCAAATATGATGGAGGCACTTTTATTTCATTAAAAGCTCTATTGCAATTTCTCATAAGCTTAGCGGAACCATTGTGAGACAGCAACTTCGCAAAAGATTTGTCATGTTTTTGATTATACTGAGGAGAACTGTGCTAATCTTGACTACTCACTAAATGCCTACCCTTTTTAGGTGAATAGGGGTTAGTAAGTAGACTTAAGGTTTGTAAACTCACGCTGTTCATATCTTTGTGAAAATTATATTAATTTTCTTGCCCTTCATGATTGAAATTTCATGATTGACATAGATTCTGGGGCATTTATTTATATTTGAAGAATCAGTGTGTGTTGTAGAAGTGGTTGGACAAGCCAGTGTTAGGCAGAATTTGTTTTAGGGTTGTTGGTCTTTGGTTGGAATTCAATAATCGGCCTCTAGTGGAAAAACAATAATCTCCATACGAAATTACCATTTCAATCCTTAGCATTATCAGTGGTAACTACATGTAAATTGTAAAGTGTATTCATAATACTAGAAGCCCGTACAGCTTTATTAATTAGGCGCGACATTTTATCCAATCATCACTCTGTATTTCCGCGCACCAATGAGTGCCAAGCGAGCACCTGATGCTGAACCGTGCTTTGCGTTGATTGGTGAGCCCACTACGCGCAATATAGTCAAATTCGGTATGGTGATGAGGCGCATATGCATGCAAAGACACACACACACACACCCCTTGCATAACCTGCCAACACGCAGAATGCGACGCTTATTCAACCGGCAACGCTATAACGCAGCGTGAACCAATTGGATTTCTATACTGTCTCCCACATCCTTCATTACTACCATCCTTCCCCTTCTGCAGGTATTCGTACGTGGATACTTTACACTACTCTTCTCTCAACCCGTTAATTTGAGTCCCACTGAAGGGATAAGAACCCATTGGCCGAGTAAGTAACCTGTCTGTTTCCATTAACGTGCTGCCTTAGGGGTAGTGGGTGTATATGTGAGTGCGTGATGAATAGCAATTAAGCAATTAATTAAGGCTCACTTAGTCACAGGAGTTTATTGAGCCTTTTAATTGAATTTAATCTGCTTGTGCACTTACGTCGTTGGTCGTAATTGGATTGTTGTAGACCCAATTTACTGTCATGTGGCAGTGCTGCAAGATATATATTAAACTCCGTATTCAAGCGGCTCCTCCGCCACTTTCGGATAGTGCTATAATAATTTCACTTTCCTTTTTGAGATCCCATAGTTTTAGCCCATTCTACGTAATATTTACTCAAGTGGCCTCGTGATCAAGTAAATTAGCATGGGTTAATTATGCTGATTTATAAATCAAGTCCTATTCACAATTTTCTGCAGTGGTACGTCGGTGGCCTGTAGCACAAAAAATTACGCAAAAGTATATGAAAATGTAAAAAGTGGATTTTCTACCAGCATTAAGAAGCATTACCTTTGAAGTGGTGATTATCTTCCTATCCATGGCTATCAAAGTTCGCTATCAAAACGTTGCATTAATCGTAGAAACAAATTACTTTAAGGCCACTTATCACCCCTATTTAAATTAGAGTGTTGCGTAGCAGGAAGTAAGCAAATTTATGATCACTTTGGTAACACTTTTTACTAAAACCGTGCGTTAGATATCAATTAATTTAATTAAACATTGTTAATGAAATTGCTGTAATCTGATCAAAAACAGTCACGATTGAGTTTTCACTCTTTAGAAATGTCATTGTTTAGCTTCATAAATAACACTTACATTAGTGACATTCACTAGTTTACGCAATAAAATACGTTACATAGGAACTAGAAATACTAATCAAATTTTTCACTGGTGACTACATCAATCGCCTTAACAGTCAACATAAACACGGTGATGTAACTCGGGAAATACGTTGATACAGAAATATACGAAGTTGTGCCGCTGATACTTCAAAAATGGGAATTGTATTCCAGTTAGTATCAGATTAGCCACACCCCTTAAACCGCTTGGTGTAATTATTCTTAGCCGATTAACACAACTTCTCAGATTTTATTTATTTTTACCTGTTGTATGCATTTGACTTAACTAATTCCAGTTGCTTCTTGTAAAACAAACCTAATCAAACGCCAAATGAAATGCTGAAAATTGAGAATATAGGCCCACAGAATAGTACAATTTTACCGAGTAAAACGCAGAAGATTGTATAAATTATTTCTTAATTGAATAATAATTATAATAAGCATTTATGTATGTTCCCGCAGGCTTTTAGTTTAGGGCTAGGCAAAAATTTTCGATGAACATCGGTTTGACGCATTTGTATAGACACTTTACCAGCTTCTCAGTTTTTTGACGTGCAGTAATCTTTTCTTTATGCTCATGGTAATAAACTGTGGTACTTTACCTTGAATTGTAGTTTTACTCTATCCTTAGATATTTTATTTTGCTACTTCAAGCATCCATTAAGATAAACTTAGATTCACATTCCTTTTGACTTTTAATTGAGAAACCTTTTCTGTTATTTTCTTCGAAGATTAATTTAGTGACCTGCCAAATTATTCGTACATGTATGTGGTTTTTTTTTACAATTTACATTGTAATACTGAAAGCCAGTGAGCCCTAAATATTTCAAATAGTAATTTTCTTAGTGTGGCTCTTAAAGTAGATAGATTTCTTAATGTTTTGGAGCATGCTAAATTTATCCGCCATCCCATGAATGACATTTTTGGGTTTCTTCAGAGATCAGTGGGCACAATAATTTCAGAAAAATGAAATTATGGCCCAGAACTTTAAGCTTACTGCAGTTCACAAAATCAAAGCAGTTTGAATTTACAAATCGTGGTGCTCACAAATTGAATTTTATGGTAGATTGATTCGTCGAAATATTTAAATGGAAGGCAAAAATTTTCTGATTTCTCACTTCGGTATATTAGAAGGCAAGATATAACCTTTGCCAGCTGTATATGTGTTATCCTTAAATCCACAAAAACAAATTAGTGTAGCTCGTTAGTAGTAAGTCTTACAGCAACTTCTACAACGACTTTAGCATCTAAAGTCTGCATGTACGCACGTAACAGAGTTGGACTTGCATGCAAACGGAGAGAGTATCTTAAGAAATCACCTTTGCCGTGTGCGTAAAGATGGGCACAGGACCTTCTTAAGCAACTTACGGTTTTTTATCCGTAGCATTAATTGCTGAATTAACTTGACACAATACCTATTCTTGCTTAGACCAGCCAAGGTGTGGTTGCTTGGTGGCTGGAACGGGAGTCTGCAGTTTGCCGGACTTTGTCAATAATACGCTGTAAAATTGTATAAAATCCCTCATTATTAGATTTGTTCTGCATGGAAATGACTAATGACTCACATTTCAAAAGGTATATTTCATTCAGAAGCAAGCATATTCTAGAAGTTGTCAAACATAATCACAATACTAGTGATTCCGAGTTGCAAGTTACAATTTTGGGCGAAAAGATAGTTTGATTGGTTCTGTACATCGTCTAAAATGATTTTTTATATTCTCATGAAGCTACTGGCTAGTCCATCACTTAAAGCCGAGAATCGCCTTTAAAGAACTAATAGTATCCTTTAGCTCTGGGTACTTTCATAGTTTAATAAATTATGAAAGAACGATGCTTTACGAGACAGCCTGCACTAAATTTAATAGACTTACCTTTTGGTCCGTAACAAACAATGTTAATTAGCTCAAACAACAAAAATAAAGTGTTTCATCAAAGCACATAAGCGCAACAAACATTCATTGACAAAGTTCCTTATGTAAGCAGTTGAGTTCAGGAATAACTTGATCATCACTTAAACCATAATTACGTTTTTCATTCCTGTAAAACTCATTAGTACACTTTTAATTCCTTTGATGTTCTAATCTATGTTTGGTTCGATGCTAGAAAAAGCATTTTTCGTTGGAATGTAGCTAAATGTCTTAAAATACATGTTCATACACCTTAAACTAGGTTGATGTGCGCGTTTAGACAAGTTAATAATCCTATTCACTGTGGATCTTCGAGTCCCGACCATATTTGAGTAGCCACAGTTTCTTTCAACAAACCGACAGCGTAAACATTGCGCTGTTTACAGGTATGTGCAGCTGCCATTACGGGGCCCCAGGTCGGAGAGAGCCAAACCGGTCCGGTTTAATTGTACCCCTAGCGTGTGGTTTTGAGACGATGGCCGAGTCGCATGAATGGCAGCATCCTCACACTCACACACATACGTGCATGACCGCACCCTCTTCTTTGATCTTTACCGCGCGCGTTCACAACATTTCGTATGTATAATAACATAGGACCAGTGAGCAGTCGGAAATCAATAATCTACAGGGCAGTAATTGTCCCAATTAACACTTGATATATCAAGCCTGGGTGATGACCGTCAGCAAATGGGCAAAACTAGGGCAACTCGATAAGGGAAAGGAATTGTAGACTAACTTCGCTTTATTTCTGATTAGCAAGCTGGCATCCCACAAAATATTTTAAAATAAGTAATTTGATGAAAAAGTGGTGATGAATTCGGGAAATCACCATGGTTGTCGAGCTAGACAGGCGTCAGATATTTGAAGGGAGCAGCGTAGTTTATCATCGTTCAGTTTGTCTTTATAAGGTGGTGTGGGATGCGGCCGGAAAAAACATGGGCGATAAAAGCCTGGATGCCGGCGGACGTGCGGCCGAAAGTTAAGCACCTTTGATCTTTGCCGCGCAGCTGCATTCCACTCGCCGCGTAGACATTGGCACATTGCATTCTTCCAAAAGCAAACAGCTAGAGGGTTTTCTTTACAGGCCATTCTTTCAAGTGCAGCTAGTTCAATAGATTAATACAAAGGTGTGGACGCAGTTTTTAAAAATGCTTTTGTTTTACAGGCACGTCGATGACTCTGCGGTATTAATGCGGTTAATATTTCGTCCATATTTTCATAACGAACTGATTTTTTTACATTATACATTTATTCGATGTTTCATATCCTAATTGGTAGATTTAGAATTTTTTTAAAAAAGTATATTCCGAAAAGGAAATACTACAGTCACCTGCTAAATTTGCCTTTCGGACTCAGGACTTCCCTATTTTGTACATAAATAGACGTATTCTGGCGCCTGAAAAATACTGGTTTTCATGTAACTTTCACTTACTTTTATTGATCTTGCCTCTCTAAAAGTAATTATTCACTTACTTTGTCTCTTATGCAAAAATATCATCCCGTTCGTTTTAGTGTATTCTAAAATTTTTGGCATTCTTAAATAACCATTGTATATGAACAATTACCTTGATACAATTTGCCACCCCTTGGTTATTAAATCGTGACATATATAAAAAGACCAATTTTATTCAGCCACTTAGTCGTAATTTAATATTCCAGTTACGAAATAGTCATTCATTAATATTTTACAAATCATGAAGAGCTTGATTGTTATTATAACAATTTCGATAGATATGAGCTTGTTGGCTATTTATGACTATAGATACGTAATCCTATTTAAATTAGCTTTATATTTAAACAGGTTTTTCCATAAACACTAATCAGTCATCCCAACGTTACTAGGCGATCTCTCACATTAGCCATTCAAAATGGTCGTCTTAATAATGCAGCATCAGAAGCTACAACATAAATGTTGGCATAAAGTCCTCTCTAATGTTGCAGCGTATATTAGGTCAAGAGCACAATAAATTACTACGAGGACTCAAAATGTAGTAGTTCGTCATTATTTTACCGTCCATTGGGGTTGGTACCTCCTGCATGGTTGTGAAATCGCTCACAGTTAAAGTGGAACGGTGGGGATGGGATTTTTGTGCATCCACTTCAATCTTCCCTGCTTTCCTCCTCTTTCGTCTTCGTCGCGGATGCGCATACAAACTGAATCGCTCTTCGCACGTACACGTGCGTGCTCGCGAGTGCGTGCGTGAATGTGCCTTTTTGTATTGATGAGGTTGGTGTTGGTGATGCCGATGGAGGTGATGGGGCCGGAGGTTGGGTTAATGATGTCCACCATGACCCCCCTTGTAGGTAGGCGGTGGCAGCGGCCTGCCCTTTGATCTTTTGCAGAGCGAGAGTGAGAGAGAGGGCGGGCAAGAGAATGAGAGACCTCAATAGGGACACACTGCGTACGTGCACGGACTTAATGTTGGCAGCTGCGTGTTTCAGCTTGAGAGTTGTGGTGACTCGTTCCTGTTGCATGTCCACTAAAATTGTGATAGCGTCGCAATCGGGAAGCGATTTTTGACTTTATAAGAGTTTCTTCTCGGCCTTTTAGCCGATTTCCTCTATTGTGAACATGTTGCTCATGCTCGGGTAGGAAGTTATAGAATCACCAATTGCAGAGAAATCTATTTAAAATACCGTTTGTTGAACTATTCTTGGGTTGATGAATGGCATAATATGCTTATTCATTTGACCATCACCTTAATTTTAAAAAGAATACTTCTGTGTGAGCATCTGACCTTCCGTTTGAGAGGGCCAAATATTTCAATTCACATCTTTACCACTGGTTCTACTATTTTTGCTCATTAATTTGGCAGTTGCTAATATCAATTAGTCTAGCTATCATTAGTTGGTATATGGTTTAAATACTATTTCTATGGCACTATAAAAGAGTTTTAAAATAAAGATGACGCTTGTATGAATCGTCTTATGACGCTTGGTGATAAGACCATTTACATGTTGAGATCTATGGCAAAATTTGCATCACAGCCTAAACATATATCAGTTGGAAGTACTTGAGTCTGTCATTCTAGTAAACTTTGTGTAACAGCTCCACTGAGGTTGAAGATGGATTAAAAATGTGATATCTCTTTGCTTTCCTTAATGGTGTTCCCATTGATGTAATGCACAAATAAGAGCAAATCATTTGTGAAGCTGCACGACAGTGATGAAATTAGTAAAGTTCTAAAATGAGGGCAGGCTAATTAAGCTAAATTTTTGTGACTTAGAGTACATAATTGGTTATACCATAGATTGCACTGGGCCAAAATCCTCTTAAATATTTTAAGATAATTGCATGCGCCTTCGAAATTTCCTCGTGCCTCTAAAGCTGAACTTACAATGCACACACGTGCGCGCACCATCATCTAATTCTCACACAGGGGAAACTAGAGGGATTTGCAAGAAATTAGGAAATTTTTTGGATCAAATATACACGTGCGCATGTGCTAAGCATGAGAATTAATGTGGAGCATAATGCTTGATTGACACTACAACGGAAGATGCGGAAACTGTTGATGCAAGCAAACAGGATCTAGTCGTTCCTGCACCCATTTGTACTACTACTGATGATGGCATTTTTGCATTGCATAATGACTAACAACTGATGGAAATGATCCTGTGTATTACTCATACTTATATTTTTGGCCTCATTTTTGCAGTTGCAGTTTTCATACAGATGAGATTTTGCTGAATATCCCATTTAAGAGGAGTTTCAGAACTCTTCAACATATTTTTTGAATTTACCCAGAAAGCAGATCTACCCTGTGTATAATAAATAAAAACAAACTCTAGGTTTTAAGTGCTAGAAATGAATACAATAACTGAATAATATGTGATAAAGTGTGAAGTGTGTTTAAACAAGTAAAGTAGAATGAATTTCTGGTTAGAGAGCACTATGAATCTATCTCGTGAACAGAATGGCATTTTGTTGCTTCTGTTCTATCGGTGCTGAAATTATTTATCAGAGTTTTCAGACTACTTATTTTAGTCTAAGCATATACAGCTCTATCACACTTATTGAAGGAAAAGAAAACAAACTCAGTTTACATTTAGATTCCAAGATAGATATGATTATAAATGAATAGTTATTTCAAGTATACTACTTTGGTAATCTTTCCTAAATGTAAGGTTGAAGCGCTAAATTATTATCATTCAGACTGAGCCTCATGTCTAATCGTGCTTAACTTGAAATCATGGATCCCAACTTCATTCTATTCTTATGGATCATAACTATGTTTTTCACAAAATAGTAGCACTTTCATTTTTGTGCTAGCTTAGCATAAATCCACTTTCTTACTTTACACATATTTGAACGAAACTTTCAAGGTCTGTTACCTCCTTGTATCCCCTTGATAAATTGCGGTCAAAATGTGCAAGCTATGGCTCCACCAAATCATTACACAGTGCTTTTTTGTTAATTGCTGTTTAGTAAGCTCCTGAAATGAATGAAGGGATTCAAATGACTCAATTAATCTTTGGCATGAATTTATTAATGCCAGAAAACGATCGTTTTTTGCATAAAAGTTGCTCACGAATCCAGTACTTTTAATCTTTGCATTTGCTAAGTGTTTTATAGTGATATCTTCCGTAATTTTAATTGTTCAACCCACTTTTTGGCTCGTGTACACAACTTATTCTTGCAAAATAAGGCATTCGTCACTTACTCACTATCGTTTCCTGATTGACTAGAGTTAATAAATTAAGAAAATTGCGTTCCGAGTCGTCGGAAAACACACAAATACCGCAACAACAAATTTTTTGCTGGAACACAACTTGCATCAACACTTTTATGCACAATGTTTAAACTTCGAAAGGCACAGAATAGGCAATCTTACGATTCTTTGTTGCCTTACACGATGACGTAACTAGCACAAATAAAATTCCATCACTAGTTTTTTTGGCAAGTGGACTACATCCAAGAATGGAGCATGAATAAGTTCGGAGACCATACGCAGTCATGCGAATAGTCTACTCCAGGTGGCCTAACCGGATGATCCACGGGGCAGTCCTTTGGTCCCGGACACCTTGATCATGAGAATCTTGATGCCCTGCGGTACATGGCAGCAGCTTCATTAATACATCGCCTTCCTACTGCACAAACCATTTAAAACTTTTGTCTACTAGAGCAGCAAATGGTCTTTAGGTGGGGGTTTATGAACACTAGCTTCAACAGGAGAAACATTCCATAAAATCTAGACTGACTCTGCATTTGGCGTGTTTACAGCCAAAAGATTTATTGGCATAATGTTGAAATTCCCTCGTAACCGATTCAATTAGGAAAGTACCCTAATATAAGCTATCAATGATACTATGGTTGCAGTTATTATCTTACCGTGGATTAATTAAATCAAAACGAGTTCAGTTTGACATTTCCACACAAAGACAAGTTTTTGACTTCACAGTGTGTTGTTATCTACTTGTAAAAATCAAATAAGTAATCAAAGACGTAAAATAAAATTTGCATTTTTAACTGACTGTTGTCCTTTATACTTTCTTAAACAGTTTGATATGTGTGTGCACTAACCGCAGTGCTTGAGCAACGCACGCAAATTATACGAAAAGCCCTAAAGTAACAAGATCCGAGTTTGAAGAGGATTCATATTTCAAAATGGGTTCAGGCAGTCGGCATTTGCCAAAGGTTACTACCACAAAGATCATGGTCTTGGTGAATGCAGGGGTAGTAAAAGCATATTTCGGTGTTTTCATTAGAAATTGAACACTAACGTGTGATTTGTTTAAAGTAAATGTAACGAATGAGTCTCAAATGAATTTTGACGAATGTAAAATTTGACTTGGGAATAGCAGAGTGAAGTACGTGTATCTCACACCAAAATCGGTAATTTCCTTTTATTTTTTGATGATTTTGTATTCCTTAAACCCACACAAATCACTCATTGAACAGAGAGGCGCTGATTTACTAGCCTCGTTTCACACCAGTTAATGAGCCAACTTCTGCATGATTAAAAGAATAAGAGTAAACAAGAAAGTAAATCACTAATAGTGTAAGTTGTTGCTCCATTACTTCAAGTATGTGATGTTAATTTTCACTAACATCCTTAAGTGTTGCGGTCACTATTCTTACTTGATATTAATGATGCAGTCAATTTAAATGGAAATCATGAAGTCTTAGTAATTAGTTTACATATTTCCGCTTGCATACCCAGAATTCCGACTTAAAAATTGAGTTGATGACATGTAGCAAAGCTATCAAATTACCATATGGTGCAGGTGAAATATTAAATCAATGAACTGAGAGTGGTTCATTCTTTTTTCAGATGACCAGGCTGATTGGTGTTTAATAATGCATGCAAGCACAGCCTGTTTAGAATGTTGGTGCTTGACGGACAGGTAGTGAAAGTCAAACCATGTTGACTACCAAATGTTGATTGACAATGTCTCACTGTTCTAGTCTTCTGATCGACGGGTGCGTTTGTGTATGCGTGCGAGCTTGTGTGATGAGGTTGCTAGTTTTCTTAGTTTTATTTACCAACAGCATACACCCTTCTACCACTGCCGTTTTGTACTCTGTGGAAAACGAATGAACTAAAGTGATAGGGTTGCCAGAGTCTGTTGATAATAAAGCTCAAAGCATTCCATATTCCTGCTCGAATGTTGGTGGTGAAATTATCCGTATTCCTATAAAATCTGACACATGCATCAAGGCTTCAAGTTGCAAACATGAGTAGATTAATAGTGAACGGTTTTGAGGATTTTACAGAATTGTCTTTAGCTGATCAGTAGTATGACTTCTCCACTATTTAGAATCATGCAAAGTTTTGCTCTATAATTTACATGGTTTGAAGACTGATTTTAGTGTTCTAAGGTGAGATTTCTCTAACGTTTTAAGATCCTTAACAAACATGATCTCAATCTTCGTTGGTAATATAACTAAATTGCAATTTCTCGGCCTTAAAAAGCGCACATTCAATAATGAATTGTAGTAGGATTTAGTAGCTTTGGGTATGGCGCCACTAATGTTATTAAACCGAATATAATTTTAGTAAAACAAATTAGGCTTAATTTCTAGCTGACTAAAACTATGTTTGGCTTATCCTATTCAAGCGCTCTTTTCAAACGACTTTGAAGAATGTACTGATTTCAAGACCCCTTTTGTCTGCCGTGAATTTATCGAAGTTCGCCTTACTAAAACTGTGATACCTGCACTTCAGCTGTTGCCCCTATCATTACCGTACCTAGTTAACAAAAGAGAGGTAACAGTCCTCATGAAGTGACGGCTAGAACCCTTTGATGTGTAGGCAAACGCATGTGAACGCACCATCAGACGCACTTGTTCATGCCCCTATTAATCATTAAAAGCCGTTTAAAGGCCCCAAAGTGGTGGACTTATACATGTGTCTAGCCAGCGCACCCTCTGGTTTCTTTATTCTTCTTCATAGCCCAGGTCAAAGACACTCGTGATAAATAAACTAGTAACTCATCCGTGAAGCGATCACTTGGGGGATTTGTGAAGTCTGGCCAAAGAACTTTAGTTGACCGTGTAGACGTATTGAATGGATACGGGAGAATGAAAATAATTAAAGACAATATGCCAGTTTACAATTGTACTTGACAAGAGAAAATAATCAATCTTAGGTTGGACGGTAATTGGGCTAACGTGCAATGCTATAACTTTGGTCCTCTTCTGGGGCATCGGCTTGCCCACAACCCCCCCCCGCCCCTCCTCTCAAGCCATCCTACACCAAACACTCCGCATGTCGGCACTTCAAGAAGTTGCTAACCCGCTACAGGTGGTATGTTCTAGCTTCCTCTCACGCCATCAACTCTTTCTACCTAAAAACTGAGTTATCTACTCTGGCCAACCGCACTAATTTTGGCAATGCGGGCATTCAATCGATTTGAACCGAAAGAACGACATCCACCGTTAACAAATTGGCAGAGCGCTCGAAATTTTACACACCATTTATAGTCGTTGTAACGCTCTTTGTAAACCGCCTTTGCCAAAATAACTAAACTCTCCCTTTTAGTGGCTGAAAGGTGCTTTTGTCTTAAAGTTAGTGGAAATTATCATAGAGTCAAGCCTATGAAACGTACTCAAAAATCCTGTTGCAGTAGTTTTATGCCTTTATCGTAGGAAAGTTATTACTTTTATATCATTTTTATTTAGCCAAAATGGCCAGCATACAAAACACATTTGATCTTCGCAGCCCATACACATCGTCTGGTATGATCAACAGCCAGTCCAGTGTTTTTTCCCAGTCCTCCGGTCAACCGCCTCAGTCTACGCCACAGCCGATACCACCCGAGTCAGACTACCACAGCGGCGCAACCGATTATTCCATCTCTTCGTTTTCTCGCATTCCCTCTGCTTACCCATTACAACAACTCATGCAGCAGTCTTCCAAAGCTGCCACTGAAATGCCCTTTCGAAAGCCTGCACCGCAGTCTGACTTTCTCTCGGATCTGTCCGGATTCGTGGGAAACGGTTGCGTGGCGAACGGCGAATTCGCCAACTCACCATCTCTGCAAGCAGCAGCTGCCTTGGCTGCGCAACACCGTCCACTATATCGACCTTTTAACACAGAGGCTCCCTCACCACCTCAGTCCGCAGGTCGACTCAGAAGCCCTCCATTCAGTTCCGCTGGAAATCTCCCTTCTCGTAGTTCTGCTGAAAGCGAACAAACGCTTGGTGATTCTAAGTCATTAGGGGCATTATTAAGAGAAATTGCTGGAGTACCGGCATCAACTTCTGTCTCAGTTGGAGCAGCAGCAACAATGAACACTCTGAGACAGGCTAGTGTCGGCAGCTCTGGAAGGATTAGTGACATATCCAGATATGAAAACTCTAATATTCCAGGCTTTGGAGGTAGGCTTGGACTTTAAGAGTGAGGCAATCAACACTTGTAAACGATTTGATTTGATCTCGATTATTTAAAATGAAACTGACATAGAGCTCATGTCTACTTTTCAAAATGTTTCCCAAATAATGTCTCATCTACATAAGCCAATGTTTTCCTTTACATCAGCAGTGCAGGAATCTGTTGTGTACTTTAGTAAATTGTATACTAAACAAAGTTAATCCAATATTTATTTCGTGAGTAGAAACAATTGTGTACGGCATAACTACTTAAACATTGCATCCTTTTGGGGCAAGCATGAACTATACATGGATGAAGTAGAGAAATTTAAACATTAGTAGATTAAAAATAAGTTAAGACAAGCATTACTTGAATACTCTTTTATATTATCCTTTTTGAGGGATATTCAAACCAATGTTTAGTTTCTAAGCATTAGTGATATTTTGTATTGAACAAAGTTTATCCACGAACAGTAATGTGTTGAAATACACCCATTGCTATGTTACCCGAATAACTACTTTTCGTGTAAATAGGCCATCGTATAAACATTTGCACTTGGTATTTCAAAAATCATCATCATTCTTACACTCACAAGAAAGATAAATAGAACAAGAGTGGTGTCGTACATTCGGTTAAAAAATTCCAATGGTAAAACGTTTATGTTAACGTCTTCTCTTAAAGGGTGCAAAGCTCTTCCCATACCGTTTTTGTGGAAAGCTGCGCTTTAACATTTTCTTATAGATTATGGTTGAATAAACAAAATCTATCAGTAAGTGAATTTTGGTATCTTCAATTCCCTTGGCAAATTCTTCAGCTGAACTAACACTCTATGCTGATGGGCACTGATTTTGCAGAAACTAGATAGTATAAATCCAGTATTTTTTTAATGAATAGTGACTCAACAGTTGCTGAACATGGTTTTTAGTATTTTTTGGAATAAGTTTGCCTTTGGGTGATTTTAGCTATTATCATATACGTGTTCATTTTGCAGTCTGTCAAATGACATTCAAGATAGCAATACTTGCTTCAATTTAAATCCAAAAATCTGTAACTCTATGTAATTTTACACCCAAGTTTTAGCAGCTCCCATTTCTACATTTGGTAAATATATGAACTATTTGCTGTTGCTTAAACGTTTATTTATCAATTAAGGTGTGTTTCAACCAAATAGATTAGTTGTGGATAAAAGAAAGCATGCACAAATCCATGTTGTTTCTTTCAATCTTCAACAGGAGTCGGTGACCAGTCTTTGCTGGGGCAACAGCATCCATCGGAAGGATTCCTAGATACTTTGACAAGTGGAACACCCGGGCGGTTACCACCCCCTCCTCGAAGCCTCTTCCAATCGCCTCCTAACAGCCTGCAACATCCCCACGCCGCAGGCATGATGTCCCCGGTGCTGCCTTCACCTACTTCTCACCAACCACCACCACCATCGCATCAACAGTACTTCAGACCCCAACCAAGCCAACCACAATCCCATGGACCGCCACCTCCACCGGACCTTTTTCAGACCCCGAGAATCGCAAACAGCGTTCAAGCGGCTGCCGCTGCTGCGGCCCTGGCCCTGGGGAACGGCTCTGGACCGATGGCTCCAATTCCAACCTCTTCGGATGTTACTAACCGACTGGGGCCGCCTCCGTGTTTCATGCCATCTGTGATTATGCCAAATAACGGAGATGAGGATGGTAGGCTATCAAAAATAGTCCCTTTTGTAAAATATGGTTGTTTCAGAACGGCAGTATAATGAACCCTT